ATCAACCTCCCATCCATTGAAGGTGTTCATAACCTTGTGGGATTTGATTCATGTAGTTGGATAGTGGGTCGTGGCTCTAGTGTTCTATTTTGGCTTGATCGCTGGCTTTTAATCAACTCTCCTCTTAAATGTGTCTTCCCTGGACTCTTTTCTTTATGTGTCAACAAGAATGCCAAGGTTTCTAACTTGTGAAGCTGAGGTTCGTGGAATGTTCCATTTCGTCGAACCCATTTTTCTTGGGAACAAGTTACATATTCTGAGCGTCTTGGGATGCTTTCACCAATGATTCTCATTCCAGATAAAGAAGACAAACTTATGTGAAAACATGCCCCTAAAGGTAACTTTTCAATCAAGTCTTTCAACTCTGTCCTTGCCTCCATCCTAGGGGAACAGCAGGTATAGTTCTTGTCCTTATGGAACCTCTCTATCCTTTCAAAGGTCTAATGCTTTCTCTAGTTAGCTATTCTCGATTTCGTCCTAAGAAAAACCTTCCTCAGTAAAAGAGTTCATTTTGAAGAGGAATAGAGGTACTGCACTCGGTGTGGTGTCGAGGAGGAATCTTGTTCTCACATTCTATTAAGTTGTTCCTTTAGTTGGATTGTTTGGTGCCATATTCTCCAATGGTGGAATCTTTCATGGGCTGCCCCTTGCTTCTTAGCCTCATATATTCAAAGTTGATCACAATCCTATCACTAGAACTCAGTCTTGAAATGTCGGATGGTTGTGTGTGGTGCAACTTTATAGTCCCTATGGTTGGCTAGGAATGAATTTGTATTTAACAGAAAAGTTTGGGATTGTAAGGAAATTTTCTTACTTATTAATATAAGATTTACTTTCTGGTTGCGGGCATGTGATGGTATGGAATCCGTGGATGAAATTGGATGGTGGACTAAACCATGGGAAGTAGAGGTTCATCGCACCCCTTTCCACCATCGCCTTAACATTCATTGGTGCCGACTGCCAAAGGGGACTTTGAAATTAAATGTTGACGATTTTGGTACAGGAAAACCGAGGTTGAAAAGATGTGGAGGGGCTCTTCGAGACTCAAAAAGATTTCTTGTTGGGGTGTTCTTTGGCCCTCTTGGAGTTGAAGATTCTAATTTTTCTGAAATCGTGACAATCAAGCATGCTCTCCACCTTTTTTTTTTAATCCCTTTTGGCAACCACAAACAAGCTTCTCATTGAGTTTGATTCTAAAATTGACTTATCTTGGATGCTCCATCCCTGCAAGAGACCTTGGGATAAATGGATGCTTTTTAATGAGACTGATTCTCTTATTTTGTAGCTAAAGGAAATCTCTTTCCAACACACTCTTAGAGAAGGAAACTCCTT